GGGAGCCAACATGGGTATCCAGATCCCACTGTTGGTTATTGACCGGAGAACGTCTCGGTCATGTCTGCATGTCTCCCGAACCCGTAGGGTCTACACACTTAAGGTTCGATGACGCTAGGGTTATAAAGGAAGTTTGTATGTGGTTATAGAATGTTGTTCGGAGTCCCGGATGATATCCCGGACGTCACGAGGAGTTCCGGAATGGTCCGGAGGTAAAGATTTATATATGGGAAGTCCTGTTTTGGTCACCGGAAAAGTTTCGGGGGTTATCGGTAACGTACCGGGACCACCGGGAGGGTCCCGGGGGTCCACCAAGTGGGGCCACCAACCCCGGAGGGCTGCATGGGCCATGTGTGGGAGGGAACCAGCCCCAGGTGGGCTGGTGCGCCCCCCACAAGGAGCCCAAGGCGCAGGGGAGAGTGGGAGGGGGCAAACCCTAGTCCAGATGGGCCTTAAGGCCCACCTAGTGGGCGCCTCCCCTCTCTCCCCCTCTTGGCCGCCTCCCCAAGCCCCATCTAGGGCTGGCCGCACCCCTTGGGGGGAAACCCTAGATGGGGGCGCAGCCCTCTCCCTCCCCTATATAAATAGAGGCATGGGGCTGCCCATAAGACATGAGAACTTCTCCTCTTGGCGCAGCCCTACCTCTCTCCCTTCTCCTCATATCTTGCGGTGCTTGGCGAAGCCCTGCTGGACTACCACGCTCCTCCATCACCACCACGCCGTTGTGCTGCTGCTGGATGGAGTCTTCCTCAACCTCTCCCTCTCTCCTTGCTGGATCAAGGCGTGGGAGACATCGTCGAGCTGTACGTGTGTTGAACGCGGAGGTGCCGTCCGTTCGGCACTAGGATCATCGGTGATCTGAATCACGACGAGTACGACTCCATCAACCCCGTTCACTTGAACACTTCCGCTTAGCGATCTACAAGGGTATGTAGATGCACTCTCCTTCCCCTCGTTGCTGGTTTCTCCATAGATAGATCTTGGTGACACGTAGGAAAATTTTGAATTTCTGCTACGTTCCCCAACAAAGGGAGGGCAGCAACACCTAAGCCCTGGCGCCTCCCTCTCCCTCCCATGACACATCTCCCTCCTCCCGCAGCGCTTGGCGAAGCTCTGTTGGAATCCCGCTACTTCCACCACCACGCCGTTGTGTTGCTGGATCTCCATCAACCTCTCCTTCCCCCTTGCTGGATCAAGAAGGAGGAGACATCGCTGCTCCGTACGTGTGTTGAACGCGGAGGTGCCGTCCGTTCGGCACTAGGATCATCGGTGATTTGGATCATGACGAGTACGACTCCATCAACCCCGTTCTCTTGAACGCTTCCGCGCGCGATCTACAAGGGTATGTAGATCCACTCCTCCCTCGTTGCTAGATGACTCCATAGATAGATCTTGGTGACACGTAGGAAAATTTTGAATTTATGCTACGTTCCCCAACATATGCTACTTTCGTTCTAAGCAAATAAGATGTAAAACATGATAAACATCACATGCAATCAAATAGTGACATGATATAGCCAATATCATTTTGCTCCTTTTTGATCTCCATCTTCGGGGCGTCATGATCATCGTCGTCACCGGCATGACACCATGATCTCCATCATCATGATCACCATCATCGTGTCTTCATGAAGTTGTCTCGTCAACTATTACTTCTACTACTATGGCTAACGGTTAGCGATAAAGTAAAGTAATTACATGACGTATAAGTTGACACGCAGGTCATAAATAAATTAAGACAACTCCTATGGCTCCTGCCGTTTGTCATACTCATCGACATGCAAGTCGTGATTCCTATTACAAGAACATGATCAATCTCATTCATCACATCCTTTTGGCCATATCACATCACACGGCATATGCTGCAAAAACAAGTTAGACGTCCTCTAATTGTTGTTGCAAGTTTTTACGTGGATGCTATAGGTTTCTAGCAAGAACGTTTCTTACCTACGCCAAAACCACAACGTGATATGCCAATTTCAATTTACCCTTCATAAGGACCCTTTTCATCGAATCCGATCCGACTAAAGTGGGAGAGACAGACACCCGCTAGCCACCTTATGAAACTAGTGCATGTCAGTCGGTGGAACCAGTCTCACGTAAGCGTACGTGTAAGGTCGGTCCGGGCCGCTTCATCCCACGATGCTGCCGAATCAAGATAAGACTAGTAACGGCAAGTAAATTGACAAAATCGATGCCCACAACAACTTGTGTTCTACTCGTGCATAGAAACTACGCATAGACCTAGCTCATGATGCCACTGTTGGGGATCGTAGCAGAAATTTAAAATTTTCTACGCATCACCAAGATCAATCTATGGAGTCATCTAGCAACGAGGGGAAGAGGAGTGCATCTACATACCCTTGTAGATCGCTAAGCGGAAGTGTTCAAGAGAACGGGGATGATGGAGTCGTACTCGTTGTGATCCAAATCACCGATGATCCTAGCGCCGAACGGACGGCACCTCCGCGTTCAACACACGTAAGGAGCGAGGACGTCTCCCGCGCCTTGATCCAGCAAGGAGGAGGGAGAGGTTAAGGAAGAGGGCTCCAACAGCAGCACGACGGCGTGGTGATGGTGGAGCAGCAGTACTCCGGCAGGGCTTCGCCAAGCTCTTACGGGGAAGGAGAGGTGTTGGGGAGGGGAGGGGCTGCGCCTTGGATGTGGTGGTCAGCCCTCCCCTTGCCCCTCTATTTATAGGGGAAGGAGGAAGGGGGCCGGCCCCCTCTAGATGAGATCTAGAGGCGGGGCGGCGGCCAAGGGGAGGGGGCTTGCCCCCCAAGCAAGGGGAGCGCCCCCTTTAGGGTGCCCCCCAACCCTAGGCGCATGGGCCCATTGGGAGGGGGGCTGCGCCCAGCCCATGTAGGGCTGGTTCCCTTTCCTCTACGGCCCATTAGGCCCTCCGAGAGAGGTGGCCCCTCCCGGTGGACCCCCGGAACCCCTCCGGTGGCCCCGGTACAATACCGATATGCCCCGGAACCTTTCCGGTGACCGTATGACAACTTCCTACATATAAATCTTCACCTCCGGACCATTCCGGAACTCCTTGTGATGTCCGGGATCTCATCCTGGACTCCGAACAACATTCGGTAATCACATACAAGTCTTCCTAATAACCCTAGCGTCATCGAACCTTAAGTGTGTAGACCCTATGGGTTCGGGAACCATGCAGACATGACCGAGACAACTCTCCGGCCAATAACCAACAGCGGGATCTGGATACCCATGTTGACTCCCACATGTTCCACGATGATCTCATCGGATGAACCACGATGTCGAGGATTCAAGCAATCACGTATACAATTCCCTTTGTCAATCGGTACGTTACTTGCCCGAGATTCGATCGTCGGTATCCCAATACCTCGTTCAATCTCGTTACCGGCAAGTCACTTTACTCGTTCCGTAATGCATGATCCCGTGACCAACTACTTAGTCACACTGAGCTCATTATGATGATGCATTATCGAGTGGGCCCAGAGATACCTCTTCGTCATACGGAGTGACAAATCTCAGTCTCGATTCATGCCAACCCAACAGACACTTTCGGAGATACCTGTAGTGTACCTTTATAGCCACCCAGTTACGTTGTGACGTTTGGTACACCCAAAGCACTCCTACGGTATCCGGGAGTTGCACAATCTCATGGTCTAAGGAAATGATACTTGACACTTAGAAAAGCTCTAGCAGACGAACTACACGATCTTGTGCTATGCTTAGGATTGGGTCTTGTCCATCACATCATTCTCCTAATGATGTGATCCCATTATCAATGGCATCCAATGTCCATGGTCAGGAAACCGTAACCATCTATTGATTAACGAGCTAGTCAACTAGAGGCTCACTAGGGACATGTTGTGGTCTATGTATTCACACATGTATTACGATTTCCGGATAACACAATTATAGCATGAACAATAGACAATTATCATGAACAAGGAAATATAATAATAACCATTTTATTATTGCCTCTAGGGCATATTTCCAATAGTTTTTCATAAACTCATAATATAGCATCGAGGGATACAATCATAATGAGTACACACCCAGGCTCTGCATAACTATGACACACACAACCAACACAACACACTCACACACACATAAACACAAAACGATAACACTCACAAAAGACAAAGTCATACAAGACCAAAGCTATATCGGCGGAGGAAGAAGAAAAACAACAAAGCAATGAAAACAGAGATTGGCAATATAAAGCAGTGACCATCCGCACCAACAATCTTTTGATGGCTTAAAAAAATCTTTTGACAACGCATTAAACATTTTCATGTATATTATCAAGAATGTCTATCATATTAAAAATACATTTCCTATTTTTTAAATTCAATGATATACTATTATTTTTATATTTACTAAACAATACAAGTATCTGCTATGTGTATTGTTGTATATACTCCCTTCGTTTCTTTTTAGTCTACATACGAAATCTGGTCAAAGTCAAACTACACAAAGATTGATCAAATTCATACCAAGAAATATCATCATCTACAATATTAATGCTATATGGTATGAAAATTTCATTTCATGATGCATCTAATAATATTAATTTCATACTGTGATTGTTGATATTTTTTCTTATAAAACTAGTCAAGCTTTACTAAGTTTGACTTTAATCAAAATTTATGTGCAGACTAAAAAAATCGGAGGGACTACATTGTATTGGATGAGGGTATTTGCTAAAGGAGCCGCCAATGTGGAAAGCAGGTGTGCACGGTGGATGTTGTTCGTTTCTCCTTGGCCTCACACTGACTGCACCTTTCTTACCATCCCCAACCATCTCAGCTGCACTGCACATGCACGGATCGATCCATCCAGTATATACTACCCGCCACTGAACCGACGAGCTTCCCACAGCTCCCCGTCGCCGGCGCCACCATTGACCTTGACTCCACCAAACTCCATCCATCCAAGCCCAGAACGAGAGCCAGTCAGCCAGAGACCACACAGAGCGAGCGAGCGAGCGAGCAAGCACATCGGAGAGAGCAATGGCGGAGACGGCGATCACGACGGTGCTGGCGAAGGTGGCGGAGCTGGTGGCGTGGGAGGCGGCGGTGCTGCTGGAGGTGGGCGACGACGTGCGCCTGCTCCGCGACAAGCTCGAGTGGCTCCACACCTTCATCCGCGACGCCGACCGCAGGCGCCGCCTCCGTGACGACGAGTTCGTCGCCGTCTGGGTGCGCCAGACCCGCGACGTCGCCTTCGAGGCCGAGGACGCGCTCGACGACTTCCTCCACCGCGCCGGGCGCCGCCGTCGGCACCGCGGCCCGGCCCCGCCGCTCCCCGGCACGGGGGCGCGCTGCTCCGGGTGGCGCTGGAGCTGGCGCCGCTGGCGGCCGCGCTGCGCGGGGCTGCAGGTCGCGCTCCGCCACGACCTCTCGGCGCGCGTCCGCCAGATCAGGAAGCGGCTCGACGAGATCTCCGCCAACCGCGCCGCCTACCACATCGAGCACGCCGCCTCGCCCGCCTGGGCCGCCTCCTCCGCCACCACCCTCGCCGCCTGGTACGCGCGCACCCACGCTCCCAAATTTACTTCTGTATGTTCATCCTCTCCGGTTCTTTTCTTTCTTTCAGCCAAAACCACCACGCAAAATCAGAGACATAATCAGTAACAAAAATGAAGAGTTGAAAGATACGAACCTACTGCTTGATTATTTGTTTGTTCTGAGATTTCTTCCTTGATTATTCCGCTGTCTTTTATCTTCGTCTTGTTCTGCGAGCAAAGATTCTGCTGAACTATCACGCAGCTTACAGAATTTTACTCTCTGAAAATGAAAATGACACCGAACGCATGTAAAATTAAAATGCAACAGATACTTCCAATGACTGCCTGCTTGAGTTAAACAATGTAGATTCTCCTGAATTGTCAAGCTACTTCATTTTATATGCCAGGACGTCTCACGCTGAAAATGACATCAAATTATTGGTTGCCACTGTTCTGTCGTCGAGGAGCTAACCATGGAGTAGCTAGCAGTTAACGAGATTTAATCACTGCATTATGAGAATAATGACGCAAGCAGCTGACTGGTTTAGTGAATTTGGGTGCAGGGACGATCTGGAAGAGTACACCGTCGGCTTCGGCAAGTACAGCGACATGCTCAGGGAGCAGCTGCTCGACGTCGACGCCGTCCCCGGCCGCGCCCTCGTCTCCATCGTCGGCGAGAGCAGCATCGGCAAGACCACGCTCGCGCGCAAGGTCTACCAGAGCCCCGAGGTCCGCAACCACTTCGCCATACGCACCTGGACCGTGCTCCCTCCCAACAGCCGCCCCGCCGACGTGCTCCGCGACATCCACCGGCAGGCCACCTCCCAGCTCCGCCGGTCCCCGTCCAACGGCCAGAGCGCGGAGGACGGCGGCTGCGACGCCAAGGGCGGCAAGGACATCAGCAACTCGCTGTTCCGGAACATGACCGGCAGGCGGTACCTTGTCGTCGTGGACGGCAGCATCGCCGTCGCCGACTGGAACAGCCTCCGTGCGTCGCTCCCCGACGAGGGCAACGGCAGCAGGGTGGTGCTGGTCACCGACGCGGCGGGGCTGGAGGTGGTGGGCTACGCCGGCGGGCCGACGTACGACCCCATCGAGCTCACGCGGCTCAGCCCGGAGAACACGTACGAACTGTTCCGGCGCCGGGTGTTCGGCCTCCGCGGCGACTGCCCCGGCCGCTACAAGTCAAGGTACTACCAGGACGTGTTCCGGATCACCCGCGGCCTGCCGCTCTCCGTCGTCGTCCTCGCCGGCGTGCTCCGGTCCAAGGAGCTGCCTGCGGAGTGGGACCAGGTGATGGCGCAGCTGCTGGCGGCCAAGGACCAGCCGCAGCATTGCAAGAGCGGGAGCGGCGGTGCCCGGCGCATCATGTCGCTGGCGTTCGACGACCTGCCGCACCACCTCAAGTCGTGCTTCCTCTACTTCGCGGCGATGCCGGAGAGCGCCCCCGTGGACGCGGCGAGGCTGGTGCGGCTGTGGGTGGCCGAGGGGTTCGTGCGGCCGCGGCGCGGGAGCACCATGGAGGAGGTCGGGCAGGGGTACCTCAAGGAGCTCATCTCCCGGTGCATGGTGCAGCTGGTGGACAAGGACGAGTTCGCCACCGTGACGGCGGTGGTGGTGCACGACCGCCTCCACGCTTTCGCGCAGGAAGAGGCTCAGGAGGCGTGCTTCGTCGAGAGCCACGACAGCACCGACGTGCTCGCCCCGGCCACCGTGCGCCGCCTCGCCGTCCAGAACACCACGGACAGGCACGTCCACCTCGGCAACGCGCTGCCCAAGCTCCGCACCATCGTCTGCGACTTCGCCAGCGGCGGTGCCGCGAAGCCCAGCGTCTGCATCCACTCCACCGACCTGGGCTTCCTCCACGCGTCCAAGTTCCTCCGCGTCATCGACATCCATGGCCTCGAGCTCAAGAAGCTTCCAGACGAGCTCGGCTCGATGATCCACATAAGGTACCTGGGCCTCCAGTGCGGGCAGCTGGAGAGGCTGCCGAGCACGATAAGCAAGCTGGTGAACCTGCAGTCGCTGATCCTCAAGGGCCGGAGCGGCGGCGTGCTGGGCGTGACCGCCGCGTTCTGGACGATCCCGACGCTGCGGCACGTGGTGGCGCCGTTCGCGCTGCCCAGGTGCCTGGGCGACCTGTACAGCCTCCAGACGCTCCACGGCGTGCAGCCGCGCGGCTGGGACACGCGCGCCGTCGCCGGCAACCCGCTGGGGAGGGCCACCAACCTCCGGTCGCTGGAGCTGAGCGGGCTGACGGCCGCGAACGCCGGAACGCTGGTGACGGCGCTGGAGAGCCTGGACCTGCTGGTGCACCTGGTGCTGCAGGGCGAGTCGCTGCCGCCGGCCGTGTTCACCGTCGCGAGCCTGCGGCGGCTGCAGAGCCTGAGGCTGGTGGGGGCCATGGAGGAGGAGGATGATGCTGATGGCGCCGACGAGGTGGCGGTCCGGTACATCCGGCCGAACCTGACGCGGCTGTCGATGTGGGGCACGATGGTGGGGCAGGGGTTCGTGGACATGCTGGGCGAGCTGCCGAGCCTGGCGGAGCTAACGCTGATGTGGGGCGCGTACGAGGGCGAGCGGCTGGAGTTCGGGGACGGCGCGTTCCGCAGCCTGCAGAAGCTGAGGCTGGGGCTGCCGGACCTGGAGGAGTGGGCGGTGAGCGCCGGGTCGATGGCGGCGCTGGCCCGGCTGACGCTGCTGCGGTGCGCCAAGATGGAGATGCTCCCGGAGGCGCTGGGCGGGATGAAGGAGCTGGAGGAGGTGGTGCTGTACAGCATGCCCAAGATGGTGGGGAGGATCAAGGAGGACGGCGGCCAGGACCACCACAAGATCAAGCACGTCCCCGTCATCCAGACCATCTGGTAGACTCGATCGGCGTTCGTCTGTGTCATGTCGTCGGATCAAGGAAGGAGAAGGAGGGCATTCTTGACGTTCCGGTGTTGTTGCCATGAGCCTTCTTCTGTATCGTCGAATCAAGCACGTTGTGTGTTCTGTCTGCTGTTCTTGACAGGAACGCGAAAGCCTCTGCAATTTTAAAACTTTGTATCTATGGGAATGACTATGTCTCCGACACTGGTTACGTGCAGGAATTGCAATTTTCATATGGACTGGTTTCTCACCGTCGTATACAAATAGAAAAACATTTTGTATTTTAAGCTGTGGTAAGGTTTTTCATGGGCACCCCAAACTCCCGGTCAGCCTACCCGGTCACTGACTCACGCGAAAATTGTCACGCAACAGCGGCTGGCAAATTCGGTCCAAATGTCCAGATTGACCGGCACTCCCCATATCTGGGGCGGATATGGGGACGCCCGGGCCCGCCCGCCACGTAGGACTGCAGGACTGACCGCTAGGGCACGCGCCAATTCGTCCATATCCGTCCCCGCCATCCCCTTCCTTGCCCGACCAGCCCTTCTTCTCTTCTCTTTTGGCCTCGTCCGCACAACCGTCACCGCAGTTTAGCCGCCATCATTGCTCCGCTGTCATCCACAACACAGGGCTTCGCCGACGGAGGCCCGAATCCACACCGCTGCCAACCATGACGTGATCGATCAAGGTCGTCGCCACCGGACGCCGCCCCAATACGTCCAACTCATCCGTATATACACCTCGCACTCTACATGTTTGATGAAATGTCCGAGCCAGATTTTTATTCTCTTGGTCATTATTCTAGTAAACCGATGGATTCGTCGTGCAATGGTGTTGGAGTACCCTAACCAAAGTGACGCAAAAGTGACGGTCTTCTATGATTTTCAACACAATGGAAACTTGACGTAAAAGTCATGGTCTTCTCTGATTTTTGACGAAAGCGATGATTTTGGAGTACCCTAGTCACAAATATAATGATTTTGAGTTATTTACTTGTTCTGAAACCACCAGGTCGATCCTTGTGTTAAAAGAAAATATGGCAAATAAACTAGCGTGGTTACGATTAGGAGGAGGCGCATATGGATTAATCGTGTCCCTACCTTTCTCCGTGACTGTATAGGATGCAACATCTTCGTAATCACTGACTTGCAGAAAAACGACTATACTACCGGCGGGGAGGCCGCTAGCTACAGAGACTGGTGTTTGGTGGCGATTCCCGGCGATTGTCCGGCGACTGGTGTTCTGCCGTTCCTCCCTGCTTCCCCTTCTTGGTCTGATCTTTCTCTTCCCCCTCTGAATCTGATCTTCCTCTTCCCTTTTTTCTCTTGGACATCTCTAGATCCCCTTTCTCTATTGCCCTGTTCTTGTTGCTTCCTCGACCCCCCGCCCATCTCAGACTGATTTGATTCTCCCCTTCTCCTTTCTTACTCGATTTCTCGCTCTCGCATCTGCGTCCGGTAGCTGTCCCGTCTCTGTTTCTCCCGCTTCAGCCACCAAAGCCTTGCGCCGCCGCCGCATCCCGCTGACCTTGGCCCGCTAGTCAGCGTAGAGTGATCTGGTTGTTTCCGGTGCGCTTCTCCCAGCTCTTGCTGCTGTGCCTTCACACCTCGCTCTGCCGGTTCCTTTGCAAATCGACCTTAGCAAATAAGAGCATCTGATGGATTTGGTCGGAGGGGCGCTCTCCGCTTCTTGGGGAGCGGCGCACAGCCCTATCGTGCCTCGGGCGCCATGAGGGCCATCGCTTGGAATTGCCGAGGTATGGGCCGAGGCCTCGGCAATGAAAGAATGCTCTACCTAGCTAACTTAATGCGATCCACGAAGGCGCATGTAACCTTTGTTTCGGAAATCAAATCATCCAAAATTCGTTCTGTTGATCTTGTTAATAGGTTTGATGTTACCGATGGTTTTGTTGTTCCTTCTAGAGGTGCTTCGGGAGGTCTTTGGCTTATGTGGACTGATGATCTTAAAGTCTCTGTTCATAGTTCTGCTTTCCATTATATTTTAGCTAAAGTAGTTCATCTAGCTTCGGGGGTCAACTTTTGTTTAATTTGTATATACGGCGACCCATATCATAGGCAGACTACTCGCATTTGGGATCAAGTTTCTTCTTTTGTGTATGATAATCTGGGCATGCCGATGTTGTGTATGGGAGACCTGAATGACATCATGTATGATATTGATGGTTGTAATGGCAATGTGAATTACTATCGTATGCATGCTTTTCGTTCTCTTGTGAAAAATTGTGGTTTGTTTGATATAGGTTATAGTGGGCCTGCTTATACTTGGCGTGGTAGACAGAACACTTCCAATCCTATTTATAAACGCCTTGACCGTTGTTTGGTTAATTCCGAATGGTGCATGCATTATCCTAATACCAAAGTTCTTAATCTGCCTATCATTTTGAGTGATCATGCTCCCATTTTACTGTCTACCGAAGGTAATTTTGTCAAACCTAAGCAGACCTTCAAATTTGAAAATTGGTGGCTGTTAGAAAAGGATTTTTCTGCTTTTGCTAAATCATCTTGGACTAATTGCTCGGCTCAATCTTTTGCAGCCAAAACTTCCTCTTTAGCAGGGCCACTTAAAAAGTGGTGTAAAAGGAAGAAGCCCCTCCAACAGGACCTTCATGACCTTGAATTGAGTATTAACCAAATACAACAACTTCCCTTGCAGCAGCAAGATCATGCTTTAGAAAGTACTCTCACTATCAGGTATGAGCAAACTCTCTATAAGCTTAATTAGTTTTACAAACAAAGAAGCAAGAAAGGTTGAGCTAAAGATGGAGACCGCAATACTAAATTTTTTCATCAAGCTGTGGTCAAACGTAGAAAGAGGAATACTATTTGTTCTGTTAAGGATGAAAAGGACATGATGCAATTTAAGCCCACTGCTATCACTAACACTTTTGTTAGCTATTTCCGATATATATTTTCTTCTCCCAATAATAATTCTGAGAGACCTTACCCTCATTCTCATTGGCCTAATGATTCCCTAGATCCTACTTATGCTCTTCCAGATAAACAGGAGGTATTGCAGATTCTCAAGGAGATGAAATTAAATGCTTCTCCAGGGCCGGATGGGTTCAATGTGGAGTTTTATTTGGCAGCTTGGGACTGGATAGGTGATGAAGTTACGCAACTTGTCATTAATTTTTATAATACTGGTATTTTGCCTCCTCATATTAATGACACAAATATTGCACTTATTCCAAAAAAACTTGAGCCTCATGTTCCCATGGATTACCGGCCTATCAGTCTTTGTAATGTTGTGTATAAGATCATTGCGATCTCTTGCTAATAGGATTAAATTGCATTTGCCTGATTATATTGATCCTGCTCAGCAAGCTTTTATTGAGGGTAGACGCATTAGTGATAATATCATCATTGTCCAAAAAATCACGCACTCTTTCTTTCTTAAATCTTGGAATCATAATGCCTTTATGCTTAAAATTGATTTGGCCAAAGCTTTCGATCGTTTGGAATGGAATTTTATAGTGGCTGCTCTTACACGTAAAGGGTTGCATGGTCATTTCATTAACTTGGTGCATGCTTGTATTTCTTCTCACATGTCACCTTAATGGTCAGCCCTCGCGTAAATTTAGAAGCTTCAAAGGTATCCGTCAGGGCTGTCCCATGTCACCTTATTTGTTTGTCATCGCTATCAATGAATTGTCTCTTGCTCTTAATGAGGCTCTGGCTGCTCACCATTTGCAGGGAATTTCTCTTGGACCAAACTGCCCTCCTATTCACTCTTTGTTGTTTGCAGATGATCTGTTGGTTTGTGGACAGGCAAGTCTTCAAGAGGCTCATTCTATGGCTCAAATCATTAACCATTTTTGTGCCATCTTAGGACAAACTCCAAACTGGGCTAAATCAGCAATTCTTTTCAGCTCTCACGTTCCTCAAGCTATAATTCATGCTATTAAGCAGATTTTCCCGGTTTCTAAATTGGATAGCAGTTTTGTTCATCTTGGTCATCCTCTTGTGCTTCCAGCTAAGAATAGAGCTTCGGCTTACAACTTTTTCATTGAAAAATTTCTGAATAAGCTACCTACTTATAAAGCTAACATGCTTTCCCATGCTGCCAGATTAGAATTGATTCGTTCGGTTTTCTTGGCTATACCTGTTTATTATATGGATAACATCTTGTTTACCAAGAAGTTCATAGCTAAACTTACTGCAATCATTAGGAATTTCTGGTGGACAGGTGTTCGAGAAAGTGATTCCAAAAAGAGCCTTTGCCTCCGAGCTTGGAAGGATATTTGTAACTCTAAGGAAGAGGGAGGATTAGGAATAAGGAACTTGAAGGCTATCAATGAAGGTCTCCTTCTCACAGCTGCTTGGAGATTAGCTAAGTCTCCTTCTTCTCACTTGCATCTTGTTCTTAAGGCTAAATACTTTCATAATGCCTCCATATGGACAGCCTCTGCTAATTCTGCTAAGTCGGCCTTTTGGGCTTCTATTCTTAAAATTCTATCGAAACTCAAAGCCCATTCTTTTTATCAATTATCTCAAGGCAGTATCTCAATTTGGAGCACTCCTTGGTGCTCTCTTTGGAGATCCATGATTGTCTTATTCATCAACGACATGGTTTTCAATATCCATCTTTAGTTAAAGATCTTTGGCTTCCGGACCAAAAAACTTGGAATCATGACTTGGTTTGCTCTCTTTTTCAAGAACCTTTGGCCTCTCTTATTGTGCAAACAGATATTATTGATGATGATAGTCCGGATACGCTTTGTTGGGATCTCACTCATAATGGTATTTGTTCTTCAAAATCTACCTATAAACTTTGTTTGCAGGAAATTCAGGCCATTCCTCGTAATGCACCTTCTGCTGTTCCTTTGGATCTCTCAAATCTTCTTAAACTCATTTGGAAACAAAAGGATATGCTCCCAAATATTAAAACTTTTGCGTGGAGACTGCTTAGGAGGGCTCTTCCTACAGGGTTGAGGGCTGGTAGATTTTCCATTCATATTTCAAAAACTTGTTGCCGATGTGGTCAACAAGAGGATGAGGTCCATCTGTTTTTCATGTGCTCTTTTTCTCGTGCAGCTTGGTTTTCCTCTCCTTGGTTTGTTCGTTCGGATGCTTTAGTCCAGGGGCATTCCACCTTGCATTCTGTTATTGATGTTCTTCGCATGAGGCATCTATATGGTTCTCTTTCTAACATTTGTACACTTCTTTGGTGTCTCTGGAAAGCAAGGAATGATTTTCTATTTCATAGGGCGAAATCTCTTCCTCATCAAGTTCACATTGCTGCTCTTGCATTAACCTCTAATGTGTATGACAATGCCCCTCTCTTGAATCAGACTCCAACTCCAACTCAGTTGTCTTCTAATCAAATTCCTTTGCCTGGCAGAACCCTTAGGTCTGATTTGTTGGCTGATGGGGCTAAAATCTATTCAGATGCAGCTTTTAGGACTAAGAAAATTCCAGGTTTGTTGCAAGGACAGGTTGGCACAGGTGTGGGAATCTTTATTTCCTTACCCTCTAACGGAGGAGAGATCAATGTGCAAGTGCAAGCTTCAGCTCCTCCAACTTCTACTCCTCTGCAAGCGGAGGCTCTTGCACTAAATTTTGCTGCTTATCTTGCATCTCAACTCAACATTGCTCAACCTACTTTTCTGACGGACTGCTTGGTTTTAGCAGGGGCTGCTGCTCTAGGTAATGTCTCCACTTCTGAAACTCCATGGAGTATCAGGAAATCTTTGGCTAGTTTTTTTAAGACTACTTATCAGCTTCAGCCAAAGGTGTTTCACATTTCTAGGGAGATCAATGGTATTGCTCATAATCTTGCTCAACAAGTTTTCTGTGCTATTGGCGACACTCGACTTTCTTGTTTTGTTGCAAGACACAATTATGGTCTTTGCCCAATACTGCCTCTTCTTGAAAATTTTTAGATTCAGAGCTTTAGAATTCATACAGTTCACTGTTATTAATTTTCTCCCTGTAGGTTTTGGTCTGGCAAGTTTTTATCTCAGTTATAGATGGTAGCCTGGGCTTGTTCTTTGTTTCTTCTCGAGCTCTGCCTTCTCTCTGTACTTTGTGTTGTGCTTGGTTTTTATTCGTTTGCAGATCTCTGGAGTTTGATGCTATATCGCGAAGCTGGAGTACATCAGTTTCTTATTTTGCAGGGTTTTCATCTTGGTTGCAGATGTATTTTGCTGTTTCTACAGGACCTTGACATGCTTGCTTCAAGAAAGATGGCAGTGAAGCAAAAGACAACAGCAATTCAGAGTTTCAGATTCAGAGTGTTCTTGTGCTAGAGTGTTCCTGTGCTAGTTCTGACCATGTTGATCATGGTGTAGTGGTCATTCCCTCTTTGCCTCATATAGGGTTTTTCTTCAGCTCTCTTTTCTAGATACTGCTGCTACTCCTCTCTACATCTTCAGCAGATCTATGTAATTCTTTTTGTACTTTCTCTACGAGCTGAATGAATTTGGCACTTCGGTGCCTTTGCTTGTTCAAAAAAAAAACATCTTCGTAATCACTCTGAACATATTAAGCGCTTTATTGGCAAAGAAAACAAAAGCAAATTCGTCAAACACTGAAGCGTCACGTGTGACGCCAAGCGAGTCAACCTTCTTCCGGCGAGTGAGAGCCGACACTTGCAACGAGTCGGCTCTTCCGTGCAAGCATGCCGCGCACGCCAATGGCGACGCACATAATCACAGACCCGTGGCTCTAGCAGCTTCTCTACCACCAACTGGTCAGCCTAATTTCTGCCTCTATAAATTAACAAGAAGGACGACGAAGATACTCGTATTATCATACCCACTTGCAAATTCAGTTCAGAGCACCGTGGTCCTCTGGCAAATAGTTTAATCGCGAGAGGAAGAGATCGGTCGAAAACGATGGCCGGCGAAGGAGACGGCGTGAAGCTGCTGGGCACGGTGGTGAGCCCGTTCGCGGTCCGCGTGCGCATGGCGCTGCACCTCAAGGGCGTGAGCTACGAGGACCTGGAGCAGGACGTGTTCGACAAGGGCGACCTCCTCCTCGCCTCCAACCCAGTGCGCAAGAAGGTCCCCGTGCTCCTCCACGCCGGCAGGCCCGTCTGCGAGTCGCTAGCCATCGTCGAGTACGTCGACGAGGTCTGGGCCGGCGCGGCCCCGCTCCTCCCCGCCGACCCCCACGGCCGCGCCGTCGCGCGCTTCTGGGCCGCCTACGTCGACGACAGGTTGGTCACCGCGATGTTAGGCATCCTGCGCGCGACCACCGATGAGGAGCGGGCGGAGAGGCTCGACGCCGCGCTCGCGGCGGTCAGGCCCTTGGAGGACGCCTTTGCCGAGTGCTCTGGCGGCAAGGCCTTCTTCGCGGGCGACTCCGTCGGGTACCTCGACCTCGCGCTCGGGTGCCACCTCTTCTGGTTCGAGGCGCTGCGCGAGATGTTCGGCGTGATGATCATCGACGCCGGCAGGACTCCGCGCCTGGCCGCCTGGGCTGGAAGGTTCGCGGAGACGGAGACGGCCGAGAAGGCGGCGTCGCCCATCAAGAGCCTAGTGGACTACGCCGGGAAGTTGCGGGCTATCTGGGCTGCTATTGCCGCGGCTGCCAACTAATTTAAGTGGCTGGAAGTTGAAGAGCTTCTTGATTCGGCCGCCTCGAACTAGTGTAAACATAGGTAGATTTCATTTTTCTACAAACAGAGTTCACAATAAAATGGCCATTTGTTTTGATAAAGTTGTGGCTGAGCAACCCACTTATCTTGTTCATGGGTGTAGTACAACATTATATGATATCAGAACAAATGGAGAAAATTTCAAAAATACATTCTTTTTGCGGGAAAAGAATAAAATAATTAAGAGCCTTTAGAGTGAAAGTAACATAAACCCACAAGTTCAAGCGATTTGGAATACACGCAACTTCTGAGCTAGCAGTGGAAACATAATCCAAATTTGTTTGGTTAACCGTTGATGAGAAATCCGACAAACTAGGCCCATGTACCATTGACAAGATAGTGACTCACTAAATTTTGACTTAAGCCGACCATTGAGCTCAGCTAGCATGCTCCGTCTGTCCGAATTACTTGTCGCACAAATAGATGTGTTTAGATATATTTTAGTTCTAGATACGTTCATTATTATTCATTTCCGCGGCAAGTAATTCAGGACGAAGGGGGTATTATTTTCCATCCGTACTTGCCTCTTTCCGTCTCTAAATTCCCCTTGATATGATCGAGCCAACAAAGAGGTGGCAGCTATAGTTGGTGACTTTGTCGGCGATGTGTGATATGAGTGGTGGTGTCGGGGAAGAGCACACACTCTCCCATCCCCCTTTCCCCCAATAAAAAATTAAGCCATTTTCTTTGTCAAGGGAATCGTCCCTCTGTAACGTGCATCGTCACCCCGGTGTCCTTCCTCCTCCTCGAGTGGAGTGCCACCGCTACTGGTCCCCCCCTCCTCCTCCCCCAATCGGTTCGAAAGGGCTATACCATTGATTCAATACACTGTTTAGTGTGCCATAAGTTTCAAAATAAACCTTTTGGTTCGACTCTTATTACGTAATATTTCTATGCCGACGCAGTGCAAAACTGGGACAAAGAAAACACACAATGTACTCCATGCATGAACCTTTACTCTCCAAACAGTTTTCACGCCCGAGAAGGTCTACTCAAATGTAGTTACTACCTTCGTCTCAAGAAAAAGCCTATAATAACGTCTTATATTTTGAAAAATGAAGACAATAAGTTCGTAGCGAATACTCCAACATTAATCTGTCCTCATTGCACTGCGTGAAGGCTTCATGGATTGCGAGGCAATTTTCATTCATCAATTTTGTGGATAAAAATATAGGCGGAAAACAGATGTGACTTCAGTTGTTATATACACCACTCAGTTTTAGGAATCAGCCTATCAACCCAAACTGATCACCCGCAAAAAAAAAAAAAAAACTGATGACAGGGCAAAGGAACCTTATCAAATATACCAACCGCATACTCCACACCATCCCGTGCTTCTCCCAGGAGCACCACCACCTGCATGTTTCTCGACTCAGGCTGTGGTGACCAAACCTGGAAGACGCGCACGAGCAGATCAACACGGCGCTGAGGGAGAGCAAGCCGCGCCTGCATGTCAGCAGCTTCAATCAACACTGAATTAAAGCTGCATTACATAAATTTTTAATTAATTTGGTTGGGGTGCGCCTGCCCAGGCAATAATGCAACGCACTGGGCAACACCTGAGGGTCCCAATGGCAAACCATTATGATGGACCCTCTTCCATAAAAAATAAATTTAATATCATTGTAGACACATGGCCCACATATCAGATATTAAACTGATAAGAACAGATACTACACTCGATCTTAGCCAAAAGGCCGAGAAAGGTATGCTTCAACCCGCCGGCCACCCCTGCTCTTTATAGCCTCGCAGCGCCCCGCCTCCCCCTCGCCAAGCGATGTGGGTCATGGGCTCGCCAATCCCCTCGCATGGGCCGTAAAGATCCTGAAGCGAGCCTTTCTTTCCTTGAGACGCACAGGTGGGCCTTCGTCCCGTCTCGCTCGGCACCGGTGGGTCATGGTTTTCTAAAGGAAAAAAAAAGACACTAGTGGGTCATGGGTCCCGGTGGCAGTCAGTAAAGTATGCTTCATTTTTTACTTTTACCAGCTGATGAAAACTCATGGAAAATCGCTGTGAAAAGAACAAGACTGAGGCTGGATTGTACTGCGGCCGGGCCGAGGCAGCATCGTTAGGAGCTTTCGACAGGTTAGTTTTTTCTGATGATTTCCGAGCTGCTTATCTTATCTAGCAATCTCGTTGCGTCCGCACAAGAAAAACAAGAGAGGATTAGCTTCGGTATTTACCACTATGATGATGGCTTCCTTCCTTCCTTCATATTAGCAGCAGCAGCAGCAGTCAACAGAGCAGCACAGGCGGCTAGAGTTTAATCCCCACACGGCACACGCCACGCACACGGCGGAGGAGCTCAGATGGCCAGCGGCGGCGCGTCGGACGCGGAGGCGGAGCTGCGGCGGGGCTTCAAGGCCCTGGCCGTGACGCGGCCGGACCCGGCGGCCGCGGTCTACGAGGTGCGCCTCAGCCGCCCCGCGCAGCGCAACGCGCTCAGCCCGGACTCCTTCGCGGAGATCCCGCGCGCCATGGCGCTGCTCGACCGCGTCCCCGCCGCGCGCGCCGTCGTGCTCTCCGCCGCGGGCCCCCACTTCTGCGCGGGCATCGAGCTCGGCGGGCCCGGGAACCCGCTCACCGCGCCCTTCAGCCGGGGCGCCGACCCCGCGGCCGCGGCCGAGGGGCTCCGCCGCGCCATCCTCGGCATGCAGGCCGCGCTCACCGCCGTCGAGCTGTGCCGGAAGCCCGTCATCGCGGCCGTGCACGGCGCCTGCGTCGGCGGCGGCGTCGACCTCGTCGCCGCCTGCGACATACGCTACTGCTCAAAGGACGCCACGTTCGTGCTCAAGGAGGTGGACATGGCCATCGTTGCCGACCTCGGCGCGCTCCAGCGCCTGCCGCGGATCGTCGGCTACGGGAACGCCGCAGACCTAGCCCTCACGGGCCGCAGGATCACCGCCGCGGAGGCCAAGGAGATGGGGCTGGTCAGCAGGGTGTTCGATTCCAAGCAGGAGCTGGATGCTGGTGTTGCGAAGATCGCCAAAGGTATAATTTCTCTCTGCTGTTCTTTCTTTGCCTCTGTACTCTGCCAAAATGTTTAACATGAATTGTGCAATTCCAAGTTCAAACTAATAAAGGATGTCACCTGGAATTTCACAACCTACAAAACAGTCCTTGTTTGGAGTTGAGAACTTGAGATGTCATGACATCATTATGTAGGTCATGTCGGCAACAAAATGAACAAGGGTGTCTCTCTTGGGTATCTGTGTATATGTTGTTGATAAACTTATTTATACTCTGATTGCAGTTGATCTAACTGGAATCGGTAGATCCATTTGGCTGGATAATATTTGATTTTATGTTAGTCAGAACCTGTTGATTCTGGAAAAATTGAGGTTAAACTTCATGTTAGTAACATTAACAGCACGCATGAATTGTGTCTTTAAATACAATTGGTTGGTGGCCTTCTGTTATTTTAGCATAGTATCTCTAGTTCAGCTTAAACTTTTCACAGGCTTTCTAGAATTCCAACTCACCCAGCTTTCCTAAAGATCCATCTATATTCTCATTTCCTGGTTTTTGTGCATTTGCTATAGTGTGCTTGGTGTCCTATAAGTGCAGGGTTAAATGTTTCTCTTACTACATTAAGCAGCAAAATCCACCACTCTCTTGATTGGCTGCAGAGGCGCTGTGCTCCATTTCCCAACATCATGAGAAGTGTACTGGAAAGTTTGGGTCATATAGTTAGTGTTGTTAGTTTGAAGTCAGATGCACTTGAATCAATCAAATGAAGCATTGTATAATGGTTAAAAAGGGTTCACAATTCACTAGTGTCGCCCCTCTATCGAGCCAGAAGCAAGTTGGATTTGTTCATCCAAGTTGTAAGTAGATGCACATATGTAGGTCTGACTGTTCCATGTTCATAGGGTGTTACCATAATTCAGATTCATGCACAAGACGTCCCTGTGCAAACCAGTTTCTTGTTAACTATGCCTACCACTTTTTCTCCATCAACTATGTAACTCAACAAGCTGCGACCTATGATGGACCAAGAGACATTTTTTTTTTCATTGTTTCAGAAATATCAGAGAAGTCGGCAAACGCAGTGATGGGAACGAAGGCAGTTCTACTGAGAAGCAGAGATATCACAGTAGAGCAGGGCCTGGAGCATGTAGCGACTTGGAACTCTGGAATGCTGAGATCTAATGACCTGATGGAGGCCATCAAAGCTTTCATGGAGAAGCGGAAGCCTGTTTTCTCTAAGCTCTGATGATCTTCATCATGGGCGAAAATTTATATGTGAACCCTAGCCACCTGAGAATGAAAGTGAGATGGTAGAATGTAGACAAGAAATAGTACAATCTATGAATTTGGAAAACAAGTGCTCTTGTTATCTGTATCTTGTATGCATATCATATCATATATAAAAGGGAATAAAACAAGGATTTTATGGTATTTCCTTAGCACTACTGATGTCCGTATTGATTAGTGATATGTTGTGATGCCTATAGATTAACCATTCCCACTTGTAGTGTGATGCGCTTTTGCAGAGAGTTGAGTACCTTCACAATAGGAGTGTGATTTACCTGATTTGAGGGACTGGAAAGTTCACGAGCTTATTGTATCTTGTTTTTTTTAGGATAACCATGCATATGTTCATAGAACAACAATGTTACAACCAATCCACGTGAAAACAACAAGAAAGCACGAGAGAAGAACCGTGCCAAAACTCTGCAGAAAACACCTCCAGCAAGAAATAGCCACTAAGTATCTGGGTTGGGTGAACAAGACCAATGAGAAACTGACGGCGGTATAAGTTGAATTTCAGTCCTGAAGAGGTGAGTTTGGTACTCTGATGTTATCGCGGTACCAACCCCCTTTGGTTACCATGTCAATTTGTTTTTATCTATAGCTCTTATGTGTTTTAAGTTTGCCAAATTTAGCTTACAGCATTTTCAAGTCCGGTTATTATTTAAACCAGAAATTAGTACATCGCTTACTTAATCGATCTGCAATGAATTTTTGCATGTGGTTTAACAAGGTCACATACTGAAAAACAAATTAACCCACGTCTAAACGCCTGTCTGAAAATAGCTCCAAAATAATTTGGGTGACTCCCACATGCACCCTCTGTAAAAATATTAGTAGAGGGAATACCACGTTATGACTCGAAAATTCGAATCTGAGCCCGAGCTCATCTGCACCTGCGCTCACGAAAAAAATCAAAATAAATACTAGAAAAATTCAAAAAATTCCAAAAAAAAATTAGGGTGGTAGACAATTTGATGCGTGAGGTACGCTTTAATTTTCAAAACATTTGGACTTCTGTGCAGCTCTCGAGGTTTGGGCATGTCCTCGACAGTCAGAGAATTGCGCACTTTAGTGCAAACACATGCTCCTACTGTGCTCTGTGTAGTGGAAACCCAGCTTCACAGAACTAGAGTAGAAAAATTAGCACCATTGCTTGGTTTTAAGAATGGTTTTGCAGTTAGCAGTACAGGTCGATCTGGTGGCCTGGGTATGTACTGGAATGATGATGTTAAAATTGAAATATTACCATATTCACAGTATCACATGGATGCGATTGTAACTGGGTTGGAAGGGGGCTCATGGAGACTTACGTGTGTGTATGGGGAGGCACACGTGGCGGAAAGACATAAAACGTGGGACATGTTGAAGTTTATAAGAGCATCTTCGGACTTGCCGTGGATGTGTATAGGGGATTTTAATGAAGTCTTACACAGACACGAGCACGTTGGAGTGTTGGAGAGAAGTTATGCCCAGATGTCTGGCTTCCGAGATATGTTGGATGTGTGTGGCCTGGCTGATCTAGGTTACAAGGGAAATTCCTGGACCTTTGAGAAGCGAGTTACCGGGGGCAGTTTCTGTAGAGTTCGCCTGGACAGAGCCTTAGCTTCTCCGGACTGGAGTTCGAGATATCCTGACGCTACTTTGTTCCACCTTGTAGCAGCTGGATCGGATCATTGCCCAATACTACTCAGGCTTTCTGGACATGTGGAGCGGCATCCAATTGGAAAAAAGAACAAGTTGTTCAGGTACGAGGTTATGTGGGAGTCTCATGACTCTTTCTCGCCATTGTTATCTAATCTTTGGCAGGGAAAGGGAAAGGCCACCACATGTGGCGAGCTACAGCACAAGCTGGAATCCATCTCGACCAAGTTGCAATCTTGGGAACGTGACACCTTTGGTAGTGTTAAAAGGCGAATCAGCGAACTTACCACTGAGCTGGGAAGACTGAGAGCTGATCCGATCCGGGTTGGCCCTAGTCATGCGGAGATAAAGATCAGCAACATGCTCATTGAATTACAACAGAGAGAGGAGGTGATGTGGCGCCAAAGGTCGAGGATCCAATGGTTGTCTGAAGGTGACAAGAATACAAAAAATTTTCATCTCCGTGCTAGTCAGAGAAGGAAGAAAAATCGTATTACTCGGTTGAGGAGGGAAGATGGAGCGTACACGGAGGATGAGGCAGAAATGTGTGCGCTCGCAATAGCCTTTTATACTGACCTATATGGGTCCGAGGCGACTCACGGCTTGGAGGAGGTTCTAAATGTGGTACAGACCAGGGTGACACATGACATGAACGAGCTGTTGGTCGCCCCTTTTGATGGAAAGGAGGTTAGGACGGCATTATTCCAGATGTTCCCGACCAAGTCTCCTGGTCCGGACGGGTACCCGGCACACTTTTTCCAGCGCCATTGGGCAGTGTGTGGGGAGGAAGTTACCATGGCAGTGCTACGGTTACTGCGAGGTGAGGAAGATATGGCATCTATTAATCAAACCTTTTTAGTGCTGATTCCTAAAGTTGCCAGCCCGGAAGATCTTAGCCAGTTCAGACCTATAGCATTGTGCAATGTTTTATACAAAATTGCCTCAAAGGTTTTGGCGAATCGTTTGAAGATAATCCTCCCGGAGATTGTAGCAGAGGAGCAGTCGGCATTTGTTCCTGGGCGCCTTATTACAGATAACATTATTACTGCTTTTGAATGTCTACATTTTATGAAGGGAAACAAAGCAAAGAAGAATAATTTCTGTGCTCTCAAGCTGGACATGAGGAAAGCTTATGACGGAATTGAGTGGAGCTACCTACGTGCAATCATGTCCAAGCTTGGTTTTCACCAACAGTGGGTTGATATGGTAATGAGGCCTGTCTCAACAGTCTCTTTTTCCATTCTCTTCAATGGTGTGAAGTCTGAAAAGTTTGCCCCCTCCCGAGGTTTAAGGCAAGGTGATCCAATATCTCCGTATTTGTTTTTGTTAGCAGCAGAGGGCTTATCAAGCCTCATAAAAGATCGTTGTGAATCATCAGCTCTTCAAGGTGTAAAAGTGGCAGAGTCAGCACCGGCGATAAGCCACTTACTGTTTGCAGATGATTGCCTGCTGTTTTTCAAGGCAAATCTGGAGAGTGTGAATCACATTCGGGATGTTTTGGAATTATATTGTAATGCGTCAGGGCAGCGAGTAAATCTGGACAAATCGTCCATTTTCTTCAGCAAGGGGTGCTCGGAGGCATTGAGACATGATATTAAAGATTGGCTTGATGTCCACCAGGAGACCCTGAATGAGAAATACCTAGGAATGCCAATTGACGTGGGGCGAGATAAAAATGGTAAACTCCAGTTCTTGAAAGACAGAATATGGAAGCGGGTGCAGGGTTGGTTTGAGAAGACATTGTCAGCAGCAGCTAAAGATGTCCTCATCAAATCTGTAGCGCAGGCAATACCCACTTACTCGATGTCATGTTTCAGGTTACCAAGAGGCTTATGCCAGGAGATCAATTCCATCCTACGTAAGTTCTGGTGGGGATGTAAAGCTGGTGAACGAAAAGCTTGCTGGGTGGCATGGTCGGATATGACAAAGCCACGGTACATGGGAGGACTAGGGTTTAGGGACATAGAATTGTTCAACCTAGCTCTTTTAGCTCGTCAAGCATGGCGGGTTCTACAATCACCAGATAGTTTGAGTGCGAGGATACTCAAAGCGAGATACTTCCCAGCAACAGAATTCTTGCAAGCAGATTTGGGCTCGCGACCGTCGCAGGTATGGCGAGCCATCCTTGATGGGAGAGATACTCTAAAGCAAGGGATAATTAAGAGAATTGGTACGGGCGAAGCTACCGATCCATGGAATGACAACTGGCTGCCCCGAGATGGAAGACTACGACCTATTGCTTGCCTGGCGGCGCATGCCCCTTCCAGGGTGAGTGAGTTCATTGATCGTACGTCAGCAACATGGAACTGTGAGAAGCTTAAGGAGTGTTTCCTGTCGATGGATGTGGAGGCGATTCTGAACCTCCCTTTGTCGACCAGGAACCAGCAGGACGAGTGGGCTTGGCACTACGACCGCAAAGGGGTTTTTACAGTTCGATCAGCATACAAGATGCTTGTGCATACCAAGACAACAAGGGAAGCTTGGCTGGAGGGGTCAGCTGCTTCGTCTGATACAAAAAGGTAGAAAAATAGTGGACTTCCCTTTGGCGAATCCAAGTTCCATCCAAAATAAAAGTTTTTTTATGGAGGCTAGCAAAGCACTCTCTCCCGACGAGTGATGTTCTTAAACATAGAAATATGGCAGTGGAAGATAAATGTGCAGTGTGTGGAGAAGATGACTCGTGGAAGCATTCGTTGATCGAGTGTACAATGGCTAAATGCGTTTGGGCTTTGGCATCAGTGGAGGTTGCGGAACAGGTCTCCATGACGCAACAAGGGAATGCGAGGGACTGGATTTTTGAGCTCATTGAAAAATTACCCTCTAGTGAAATGACAGAGGCGTTTGTCTCCCTATGGGCTATCTGGCACGCAAGGCGGAAGGTAATTCATGAAAATCTATTCCAAAGTCCATTATCTACTCATTGCTTCATCAGGAGTTTCATGGAAGATCTAGGTGTGGTACAGAGCAAGATGAATAACAAGGTACAAGCAAGACAAGTGGAGACCAATGTCCAGCAATGGATCCCCTCACCAACCGGCTGGACGAAGGTAAACGTGGACGGAGCCTTGGGAAAACTTGATGACAAGGCTGCCGTTGCAGCTGTAGCACGAAGCTGTGAAGGTGAATTCTTGGGAGCTTTTTCTGTTGTCTTCATAGGAATTTCAGATGCAGAAACCGTTGAAGCTCTTGCGATAAGGGAGGCTCTCTCATTGGCGGACGACTTGCTTACTCGAAGAGTTAAGGTGGCTTCTGATTGCCTTAGGGTGATCAATACTATGAATGAGGACTCCAAACCAGTATATTATCACATCACACAGG